AGTTAAAGTGGACTCAAGTTGCATTATTTCTGCCAGTCTGTAAAGGCTGTGCACATGAGATTGTAATTTAAATGTATAATTTTAATTTTGCTAATTGTTTATGCCACAGCTTTTCTACCAAAAGGCAGATGTTTGGGGCTGAGAGTGTCACCTGGTGTGGCCCGCACCACCCTAGTGATGCTCCTGGTGTCAGGAGGTGGTTAAGGGTTCAGGAGGAGCACCAATGGAAAACTCAGACAGTGATTTATCCTTTTTTTGCACAGAATTCATGGCAAGGTTCATCTCTCTGCCCATGACAAAAAAAAAATGTGATTGAAACAGCAAGTTGGTTTGTTGGTTTATTTTTACAACAAGATTCTCTGGTGCAAGTTGTGTTTCCTATAGGTCCAAAGTGGTCTGCTTCTGGATGGCTCTTTCACAGCTTCTGGATGGCCTTTTCAATAGGTCTCCTCTGAATTGGGAGGAGGAATCATTGCATAAGGATTAAATAAAATACTGCCTTCATACGGATTTCCTAACTAATCAGACCTACAGTAGATCTAATTGGATAAGTAACTCTCAATTAACTTCCCATTGGTTTCATTGAGTTCCTTCTAAGTGTCACTAATTCAACCCTAGCAGCTAACCATCATTCTAACATTGACATGGTCCAAGTGTGGCCCTTCAGATGTTGTTGAGACTGCATCTTCCATTAGCCCTAGTATGGCAAGTGGCGAGGGATGCTGGGAACTGTAGTCTAACAACATCTGGAGGGTCATACACTTCCCACTAGAAATCATTTCTTCCACAAGAACTGTATAACTGGTTTCTGTTATAATGCAGACTTATTTATTTGAAGGATTTTTTACCCTCCCCTTCAGTCAAAATGGCTTCCAGAGGACCAGTATGTGGTTACAGCAGGGTTTGGGAAGATATAGTTCTCCAAATGATGTTGGACTACAACTCCCAACATTTCTTCACCACTGATTATCCTAACTAGGGTTGAAAAGAATTCAATGCATCAATCTCTGGAGGGCCACATGTTTTCCATGCTTTAGAAATAACCACTACCTCCCCACCATTTCCCCAAATCTGGGATTCAAATAGAAGAACACATAATATAAAATATTTTTTTTAATAAATAGACAAGAAAATAATTGTAAGGAACTTACTCTTAATCTCATAATTATTTCAATGCATTAACTAATCAATTGTTATCTTAATGAATCTCTAACCACTGCTGTTAGAAATTAACCAGAATCAAATTCCTGGACTTACTGATGCATCCTATCCAAATGTTGTGTTCACAGTTTTCCATTTGGGGGCGGGGGGGGGGGGGGGGGGGGAATCATGTACTGTTTTTGTTGAACTGCAGTTCCCAGGAGCCCTAACCAGCATAGCTAATGGTGAGGAATGCTGGGAGCTGAGGTTCAATCAGAGCTGGAGGGGTATAAAATTCTTGCTCATGTTCTCTTCTGTTTTGTTATACTGTTGGACTGGTATTTGGGAGACCCAGGTTCCCGTATCCATTACACCATCAAACTCACTGATCTTGGGTCAGTCCCTCTGTTTCACAGTAACCCTCCCTGTAGGGTTGTCATTATGAGGATAAAGTGATGAGGAGGAAAACTATGTGCACCAGTTTAAAATCATTGGAGGAAAGACAGGAGATAAAGGAACGTTATAAGTTTATTTTACATATTTTACATGTTTACATGCATTAGATCAGGACTCTGGAGACCAGTGTTTGAATCCCAGCTCAGCCACAGAAACCCATTGGGTGACCTTGGGCAAGTCACACTCTCTCAACCTCAGAGAATGGCAAGGTCAAACCCTCTCTGAAGAAGGTTGCCAAGAAAACCCCACAATAGGTTCACTGCCTTTTGTTATGCGCCTCCAATTCATTGTCCAACTTACGGAGACCCTAAGGCAGTGGTGGCAAACCTTTTAGAGACTGAGTGCCCAAACTGCAACCCAAAATCCACTTATTTATCGCAAAGTGCCGCGTCCCTCTGGTTTTCTAGTAATGAACTCTGGCAAACTCTGTGCTGGGGCGACAGCATGCATACCCACAAAGAGAGTTCTGGCATGCCACCACTGCCCTAAGGCAAACCTATCACAAGGTTTTCTTGACAAGTTTTTTAGAGGGAGGTTGCTATGGCCATCCTCTGAGGCTGAGAGGGTGTTTCTTGCCCTTGGTCACCCAGTGGGTTTCCATGGCCGAGGTGGAATTCGAACCCCGATCTCCAGAGTTGTAGTCCAATGCTCAAACCACTACACCACGCTGGCTCACCACCTTAGGGTTGCCATAAGTTAGAAATGACTTGAAGGCACACAACAACACGATGGCATCACATTAAAGAATTAATTGCATCTGTTTCAGTTGTTATCTTAATTATAATCAATAAACTGAATCTCCATAAATGTAGATATGAGAAAAATAGTTATAAGGGAAGAAAGTGGGGCCTGTTCCACCCCACTCTTTAGTCTAGATGTGAAGATGATCTGGCTGTAACATTTGTCCTCCCATTGATTGCCAGGGTTGAATTGGCAGATCTGGCTGGCTAGATGGGTATCTTCCCTTGCCACTACATATGCATCCCTCCAGAATCTGCATACTCAATGAAAGAGAATGACCATCCCAAATAGACAGAGTGTACTGTTCTTTGTTCAAGGGTATGTACACATATTCAGGCAATTATAATATCATAGGCTTATTCCTCATATACAAGAAGATATTCTTTTTCTCAGACAGTACTTGCCATCAGCACTTTTTATATAAGCATTTGTACTTTTTAAAATTAGATTCAACTAATTAACACGCTATCGCCAAAACTCTCAGAGCAACACATGGAAACACTCAATAAGACATTTTTTTTAATAAAAATCCAGTTAAATTTTTAAAACAAAAACAAAAACTAAGAGAAGCCATAAATTCAGTTTTAAACAGCAAAAACAACAGATACTAAACACATTGAAAAGTATCCAGGGATACAAAACCAACACGACAACACAACTGGGCTGGGGAATCTGTGGTTGTCCATCTGCTGTTGGATTTCAGCTCCCATC